GGAACACAGCCACACCCATTCATTTATGTATTGGCTATAACAGCTTTCACACTATATAAAATCTCCGTCCTAGCAAAGTTGAGTAGTTGTGACACAGACCATATAGCTCTAAAGTCCAAAATATTGAGGCTCTGGCTCCTAACAGAAAAAGGTTTCTGACTCCTGAAGCAAACCAGAATTTACCAATGAAACTTTCTGGTATATTGAAAATGTTCTCTACCTGCTCGGTTTGATACAGTAACCACTTAGCTACCTGAGACTACTGAGTACTTGAAGTATTAAGTACTATCATTGAAGAGCTGAATTTTTAGTTATTTCATTTTAATTAATGCAAATTTAAATAGCCATGTTTTGCTAGTAGCTACTTAATGAAGCAGGGTGGGTCGAGACAGTTATCAACACCACGAATCATGCCCTGATTTCTCACATTTGCTGAATTTCAAGGTGTAAATGTGGAGTCCTAATAAGGGAAAAGGGGTCGGGCTGGTAGGACCAAGAGAAAGGAAAGAGAAAGCAGACAAGCTATAAGCCTGCCTTTCTTCACGATCCAGGACGCGTAGCCCTCCTGCACAAACAACTCACAACCTTTCTGTGCCCAGCTATCACTAGACCCACAGCTGATAGAAAAATGAAAGTTAGAAACCTTGGCATTATAAGTACTGCACAAAGCCCTTTTCAGTGCACAGCACAAGCACCATTCTATAAAATCCTCAGCAAGCTTTTGTCTCCTTGAAGTCAGCTCCTCTTTTGCTGGTCTGCCCATTGCACCCTTGTGAAGTATTTTCATACCTTCTCCAATAAATCTGCCTTTTTATCTACAACTGTCTTGGTAATTTCTTCTTATCCTGATGCCACTGGCCTAGATAGTCATTGATCACCCATGACAGTAAACACATCAACTTCAAGCTACCAATTTCAAGCTATCGATGTGACATCACTGAATAAGTTAGGAAGAAATGTACATTATTATACAGTATTTGTACCATACAGTTCCAATAAACATAAATAACCTCTAAAGCATGGATAAAACACTAGTCAATAATTAACAAGTGATATGTTTTGAGTATTTATTACCTTGATTTTAATTTAATTAGTTTAATTATCCATTTATATAATTTAATTTTAAGAACAGATGTGTTTAATAACGAATGGCAAAATTCCTAAAAAATGTTAACAGTTTTCTCTCAAACCAGTGCAATCTAACTTCAGCAGATGACTGAATGAAAACACCATGCTCTTTATTACTATACATAAAATCAACTGAACTAAAGAAAAAGGTAAGTGAAAGAGAAAATCAAAAGGATCCATTAGTATGAAACTCAGTTTGTAAAAATGGTTATATTGTCAAAGGCAAGGCATTTCTAGTTGCACAAAGAGAAACAGTGTCACAGAAACTAACAGAGTAGGGATTTGTTACTCAGAGTCAGTGGATTCTATGGGAATTTCAAAGATGATCCCTCTCAATTAATATGCAAAATTTATGTAAAGATATAAAAACATTTTCCTGGGAATAAATTAACATTCAGGGAGGTTGGGGAATTTTGCTTTTGAAAATTGGAATATTAAAGTTGTTAACTCTCAGTCAAAAATTTAATAAGCACATTTGTGGCTTAAATATAATGAGTGTAAAGCTAAAACCGTAAATCTTTCGGATCCCAAATCCAAATCAAGTAAGAGTAGATGAGAATTAGCCTAAGCTGAAAAATGGAACCTAAATGTCTCATATGAGGCTGGGCAGGAGCCAGGATCATCACTTTGAAACTATTTGAAGAAAATATTCATAAATTGAAATATGGTACTGAGAGTCATACAGAACTCAGCACAAAGGGACAAAGAGATTCAACCTAGGAAAAGACAAGTGATAAATACATTACGGGTAGAATTAACAACTCTCATACAGGTTCGATGAAAATTTTAGAAGTGAAAAATAGAATAAATATTTAAATATCAATTTTAAGTGTTTTTACATACAGTAATTTTTTTAAGTATTTAGTTCACTATTTACTGCACATTAGTTTAATTTTTTTTTCTGTTATACTTGTTTCTGCTCACTTACAATTTTTACATTAAAAATACTGTGAGATGGCTTTTCAGTCAGGTGACTCTCAAGTCTTTTTGGCTAAATTTTTCTAAACTTTTAGTATGAGAAGTTTTTTTCTTGTTGATTTATCACCCAGAATATATATTAAAAGGGCATTTGCCACATTAAATTGCATTGAACACCCTTTTCAAAGCCAGTGCACTCATAGAACATGTCTATGCTTGAAGATGAATTTGACTGGAGTCATTTGGCTTCCCTAATAGCTCTGCTTTTAAATGTAATCATGAAGAACTCCAGGTACTCAGTGTTAACAACTAATGATTGTCCTGAAAATGTCAGTCAGCCTAAGTGACTGACAATTTTTTCTTTGTGAGGTGAGTGTATGACATTAAATACTTTTTGAATAAAAGAATAAAAAATCAAAGTAAAGAGATCTTTTTTATAAATTAGGTATATTGCTCCTCTAGATCTAATCTAACTATAGTTGTGATTATTTAAATCTACTTTTCAAAAGGAATTAACTAAATTATGGTAAAGGAATAAGAGTACTGAACTGGGAGACGGGGATAATTCTATCAAAATCTGCTGGAGATTTAAATATCTTCATCTTTAAATTATGAGTGCACAACCAGATAATTTCAGTTTTCTCATTCAATTTTATGTTTCTTTCTTTCTTTTTTCTTTTTTTCTTTTTTTTTTTTTTTTTTTTTAGATGGAGTCTCACGCTTGTCCAGTGGTGCAATCTTGGCTCACTGTAAGCTCCACCTCCCGGGTTCCCGCCATTCTCCTGCCTCAGCCTCCGGAGTAGCTGGGACTACAGGCGCCCGCCACCGCACCCGGCTAATTTTTGTATTTTTAGTAGGAACGGGGTTTCACCATGTTGGCCAGGCTGGTCTCAAACTCCTGCCCTCAGGTGATCCGCCCACCTCGGCCTTCCGAAGTGCTGGGATTACAGGCGTGAAACACCGCGCCCGGCCAGTTTTATGTTTCTTAACTGGAGAGCTGGAGCCATTATGAGCAAAATAAACAGAAAAGATTTTTTCCGTCCAATCGATGGACCAAGCTAGACATTGTATCTTCAACAACATTTTCTCTTCATGTACACCATTGACTATTCAGCACTATTCCTAGCAAATATCAGTCACAAATGAAAACTATAGTCTGCTTTCACAGAAATGTTTCTTGTGATTTTTCCCTCTTTGCTATTCTTATTTTCATTGTCTTAACTCAGGTCATCAGCATCTTTTCACATGAACTACTGAATTTTTCTCCTAACAGACCATGCTCTTCATCTCCCTGCACCCCAAGTATCTCCAATGTTTCCAAGGTGTCTTTCTTGATGAAAAAGCACTGATTTTATAAACTTCAACCTCTTCCTTTGATTTAGAGGTTAAAGCCTAACCCATATATAGAAGTCTGCATCTTTCCCAATCTAGTTTTCTTATTTTTCTAGTATAGTCTTTTGCCAATTTCCATCTTCCTTCATATCTTTGGATTCACATCCCCAACTCTGGAGAAGGCAAAAACATCAAATTTAGTTACATCAGTCTTTCATTTTTTCCCACTTTATGCTTTTGGCAATGTTGCTCCTGCTGCATAGTATACACTTTCCCCTTTTTTTATCAGGTGAAATTCTACCTATTTATAAGTTCCTGCTCAAATACTAACTGTATTGAAAAGTTTCCCTGAATACCTTGGAAGAAAAAGTTCTGCCTCCCTCATCTGAAGTCATTTCATAGCACTTTTATGTAACCCTATTTCAGTACTTAACACATCGAGTTATATTTAGCTGTTGCCCTTATACTTTCTCTGGTAGATTATGTGCTAATTTCTTTCTTTCTTTATCCATCTATCCATCAAGCATTTACTGAAGACCTGCTATTCATCAGACACTTTGTTAGAATATAGGGGACGGAGTTGTAAGAACTGAGTTTAGCTTTAACAAGTTTATTTTTTATATGGAAATCCAACATTTAAGTAAATTTTAATTTACAATATAGGATATTGAGTGCTGTGGTAGGTAGTCGTCTCTGCAGAGAATACTTTGGAAAAAAGAACTTTAAAATTTACTGCATAGGAGGGTAGGAATTAGGTCCAAGGACTTTCTCTGGTTGAGGTCGACCATTCGTTTATTAACTATTTAGAGTGGAGTAAAATTAATTCTCGATAGATGTCATTAAATACACTTTATTTCGAGTATATGGAGGCTTATTCTCTCTCGTGTGTTGGATAAAGGCCACAGGTAGTGAAGATATTTCGGAGATGTGAAGAATCCGGTAGGAATGACAACATCCAGCATTTCCATTCAACCAGATCCCACGGGGAAAATGTCAGTTTTGTGAAGGCAGATATATTAACCACGTGCAACTCCATTAATATAAATAATCTTATCCACTGAGCTCTCCCACAGACCTTCTTGGGCCCAATCAGACAGTAATGAAGTGCAGGCGAGACAGCATTCTGTACTCACATTCCAGGCAATAGTTCAAGCCCCTCCTCTAGGTTCTCCAAGAAGGAGACAGGATGACTGACTTATTGTATATTTGACTCATTTTCCTAGAAAGTGCAGACTCGCTATAAAATGTGTTAGGTGGTGACAACGCTGGTGGTTCACTGTTTTCCTGCACTTTCAGCCTCAATGCAAACCCTCTGCCCAAAGACTCGCTCCAGCACGGAGGAGCTGCGTCTTCAGCACACTTTCCCTGTTGCCAGGTAACCAACTCCCTCAGCCTAGTCTCCCGGGGTCACGAGCCGCTTCCGCCTCTCCCTCCAGGATGCTCCAATCAGCGACCAGTGTGGCTGTCACGTGGGCATCCGGGGCAGACCCTGGAGAGCCCGGCTCGCGGCGCCTTACATCGTGGCTCCGCTCTGGGGCTTGCGGAGCCCGCTTCCCCGCCCCGCGGAGCCCGCGGGCCCGGCCGCCCCGCCCCCGGGAGCCCGGGCGGAGCAGGCCGGGAGGGCGGGGCGGGTCCGCGCGTTGGCGGTGCTAGCCCCGCAGCTGCGCCGGCCGGCTTCAGCACCTTTCTCTGTCCGCTTCTACAGCCGCCTCCTCCTCCAGGTAAGAAGCCGGTGGGGCCGCAGAGATACCAAGGCAAGCTCAGGCTTGAAGAGGGTGATGCTTGAACTGTCGCGCCGTCATGCGAGAGGGGCTCTGACCGCCTTGTGGTCGCGGACCAGGGTGATGTACGTCCTGCAGGACTTTGCATACCGTGGTGCCTAATGAGATAATCCCCTTGATTTTAGAGCCACACACCTGATTCTTACAAGGCACAGCCAACAGCGAATATTTATGTATCTAAACTACCATTGCAGTGTAAACTATGGACATTTCGAGGGACATTGTTTTATTTTTATGGCTATTAAGTATATGTCTAGAGCGTAGATTGCTGTTCTCATCCCTCCGCCGGCCAGACACTTCTGTATAGATCATTTACGGTAACCCTTTGAAGATGGTCTTATTAGTAGGGTTGTACTAAGAAAGGTTTGAGTAAAAAGGAAATGTATTCCAGAAAAAAAAAAAAAAGGTATTGGATGTAAGACAGGTATACTATGTATTAAGTAGATCGTAAAACAGAATCTTTGCTGTCCTCCCCTCTCCAAAAACAGACTTGTTTTACTTGCAAAGATTGAAAGGAACAAACAATTTAAGGAGACTTTTTTACTATATTAATTAAAAGCAATTGATTTGAATGAAAAGTAATGAAAAGTCCGACCATGTATCAAAAATAAGTTATTTTGCATGTTAATATATATATATACATACTATGTATATTTAACAAGGGTTTGAAGAGAGATATTGCATTTCTGAATCTTTCGTAAATATCCTTTAGAGAAAACTATCAAAAAACACAAGTTCATTATAAAAGGATACGAAACGGCCAAAGTCCAACAATGTGAGGTTATAGTTGCCATTCTTAGCACTGTAATAACATTTCTGCGTTGTAGAAATTAGAAAATAAATGACAGTGAATTTATGAGAATTTATAAATTTGAAGTCCGGAAGAGTTTAAGCATTAATTTATTTGTAGATTTATGCCTTATCATTACCCTGCTTGCCAGGAGCTGATGCTGGGCGGGTGGTGATTACAAACTCTTTGGAGAAAGCACTCTTACATCCTTTTGAGATTCTGCCTCACTGGCCTAAGTGTTCAAGAAAATGGATATAGTTATATCTAACTGTTTTGAAGGCAGACATCTGAGATAGGTGGTCTGAGAACCTTTCCCCTCCTGTGATCTAAAATTAAATGTAGTTATTAAGTGCTTTTGAAAAATTGTCAATTCATTAATATTTTAGGATACATCCTTTACTGGATTGTTTGGAGATTAATGTTACAAATGGTAGCTTTAGAGTTCCTGGGAAGTTTTAAAGCAATGACCTATTTCAAAGGGAATATATGGAAAGTAAAGCTCTTGAGTTCCACAAACTTAATTATGTAAAAATAACTGGTTGAATGTTATTGTTTACATTACTCTGACTTTCTCTTGTGTTGATATTAATAGAACTGCTTAAAGAACTGTGGACATCTGAAGATGTTAAATATGCTTACTTGAAAGTTTTACCATTCTTTATTCTTCTTATTTCTAATGATAAATAGTGGTGTTCTGAATATTTTTAAGTTACTCATTAGTCACATAATAATCCCATAGATTAGAAAGCCATAAATTAATTTAGGTCAGAAAAACAGTGTCCCCAGTATAGGGAAGACTACGGCTAGAGCGCTTTTGTTGTTGCTGTTTTCTGTAGACTCTATCTTGTATCCTTTAGTCTGGGAAAGGAGAGGCAGGGCCAGTGGCAGGTTTTTAATTACTGGGAGAAGTTTAAGAACAGGTTTCTGTTTGTTTGTTTTATTGTTTTACCCTGATGGATGCTAGAAGTCCAACATGAATTATTAGGTTGTCACTATTAATGAAATGTGTAAATTCTCCAGAGTACCTAATTTTGTTACCTAAATAATGAAGACTAAAATGTAATTCTAACAGTTTTGAAGCATTCACGTTTTCGTCCTGTATTCCAGAATTTCTTTGAAATCTAATGTATGCAAGAAAGGTAACCCTTGATCAGATTACTGAATTGTAATACTGAATACTTAGAGTTTACCCAGCCATTCATGATAATTACGTATATGCAAGCATCATTGCTTCTTTTGATAACTGCTGAATTATCTCATTTTACATTTTGTATATCTGTTCCATTGAACAGATGGAAATATTAAAGTGAAGTCATGTATCTTCCAGTGTGTCTTCAGGAACAGAGATTTCATCAAAATTATATTAATTTATAGAAATCATATGAGGAGAGGCCGGGCGTGGTGGCTCATACCTGTAATCCCGGCACTTTGGGAGGCTGAGGCAGGTGGATCTCCTGAGGTCAGGAGTTTGAGACCAGCCTGACCAACATGGTGAAACCCCACAAAAATTAGCTGGGCATGGTGACACATGTCTGTAATCCCAGCTACTTGGGAGGCTGAGGCATGAGAATCTCTTGAACCCAGGAGGCGGAGGTTGTAGTGAGCCGAGACTGTGCCCCTGCACGCCAGCCTGGGTGACAGAGCAAGACTCCGTCCAAAAAAAAAAAAAAAAGAGATGATACTGGAAGGAATTTCTTATTAATTCATGCTCCTTTTCTTTTGTATCAGAAACATATGAAACTCAAGATTTGATTGGTACTTTTCAATATCCAAGACTGTGCTTTATCCTGTTAAAAAAATATCGTGATTATTTTTTCATTGTTGATAAGACTATTCCTTGAGATTTGTGAGCAAGAAATTAGATATGGATACCTGAAGAGAATTTTAGAAATTCTCCCAAAGAATCTGTTCTATAAGGAAACAAAACCTAGAGAAAAGCATTTTTCTTATTTGAGTTTACTTATAATGTTCACTAAGGACTTGCAACTTTGGTAATAAAAATTGGTAGAAACACTATAAAATGATCCGCTTTGTATAGTAGAAGAAAAATTCCCATTATGATTAATTAGAAAGATTTGAAAAGTTCCCACTTAAAGCATGGGCTGTCACTTTAGAAGACACAGTTCAGGTTATTTTCATCTGAATTCAGTGACTAGACAGGTATCACTTCAGTGACTAGTCAAACATTTCAAATAGGCTAGATTTTGTAAGAAAAAAAAAGAACTTGATGTTGGAGCCACAGCTGGCACGTGCCTTCCAGATGTCACATTATCAGCTACTTGAGTAAAATAATTTTTGTATATAATGATAGAAGTCTTACTTTTTATTGTGCTAAATGTACTTACAATGTGTAGTTCAGTAAACTTCTTATAAAATTCTATAATTCTACATTCTAATTTTAAAAATGCACCATAGAAATAGACAGTAATATAAATCTATAATTAAGATAATACAGGAGGTAATTTAACAATGTTATTTGCTATGATAAGGATGATTGATAATTGTCATGTTCAGATAAATTCTAGCAAAAGTGTAAGAAATAAATTTCCATATGTCAGTGAAGATATAACAGTCAATACTTGTTTTGTACATTCAGATGTTCTGAGATGGAGAACTCAAGGTAGAGGTCCTTAAACAATTTTTCTTGTGCTTGGGTTTATTGTTTTCTTCTTCAAGATTCTTCATATGTATTTTTTTTTTAGCTGTAAGCATGTGCCAGTATCCTAGGCAGACTCATTCACAGCGATGTGTAGTAAGTTCAATTTCATATCACGTACACAAAAAAACTTACTTTCAAATTGGAAAGTAGAAAATAATTTTTATTACACGAAGTACTCATGTTTAATGTGCTATTAAAAAAAAAAACAACTCTTCATTATCCAATACAAACAGCTCCACATGAAGTCTCAAAAAATGAATAGTTGGTTAATAAGAAATAGCTGACATTTAATTACGTTTGATTCTTTAAGATAAAATATTATGGGTGGCTTTTAATGAAACGAGTTATGGACCATTTTATTTTTAAGGTAAACAGGTTTGAAAGGGTCATTTCGGAATTTATGATAGAAGGATCCTTAAGACCAGTTACTCTAACACCGTTATTTTCTTAATGAGGACACTGAACACATAAAAATTATGTTTGCAAAATTTTTAAGGGAAAAACTGGCTTAGAACCTTGGACTGTGACACTCATCTTTGTGCTCCCTCCCTAAAGAGCTACAGAATGGATCACCAACATGGTTTTCTCATGTATTATATTTCTTCAAGTGACTAAGTCAGAAGTTTAAATAATTAAAGTCTAAATCATTTTCGCATGGTTAAAATAATTGTTGTAGTTAACAAACAATACGCACGTGTTTTGGTCTCATCATATAGAAAGTTTACTTAAAATACTAGTTAAAAATTATTTTTCCAATACTTATATAATGTATTGGTTTGCTCACTAAAATAAGATTTGCTGCAAAGTCGTTTGTGATTTGAGATGTGGTTACCTTAGAAATGTCTTATCCCAATGCACTCCATGGTACATAAGTAGCCATCACGCCTAAAATTAAATGTTAAGAATATTAGAAATAAGATGCTTTTGGAAGTTATATCTGAAGCCAAGATTATGGTTACCCTTAGGTACAACTGTAAGGTTGAATACGTTTGTTTTCTAGGCTTTCTCCCACTTTGGTACTAGATGCTACTTATAGCACTGTTACTCAAAGTGTGCCTTGGACTAGCAGCCTAAGCATCTCTTGGGACCTTGTTAGATATACATATCTTTAGGCCAGGTCCCTACCAGATCAGAATTTCTCAGGGAGGGGCTCAGGAATCTGTGTTTTAACAAGCCCCAAGTGATTCTTATGCAATGTGGAGTTTGAGAAGTACTGCTACAGAGTACTTTATGCCGTGCAGGTGAATGGTACATGAACATTACTGGCTCAACAGGCGATCAAGTCTCTTGGCAACTTGGTTGCCTCTTGAGATTGTAATGTTCATGTGCTATTCTACTTCTGAAGCTTTACTTGGAAGTACCATAAAGTACTAAGTAAATGAATTTATTCCTGAAAATATAATAGTGGATATGTTTCATTAAAATTTACATATCAATAGTGGCTTTTTGGGCATAATATCTCACCTTCAAAATTAATTCATTAGCTCATGT